ATATACACTCCTGTTTTCATGGATCGTTGGACCATGATCTATAATGTTTTGACCTCCATGGATTTATCTCATCCTAGAACTTGTTTTGCAGAGTCTTGAACGATGCCAACTGAACGATGTTGTTGCTGCAAAACCTGGTAAACTAGATTCTGCAGGTACTAGAAACGAATCCAACAAAGAGTCGCTGCTTTCCTTTATTGGTGAAGAGAAGAAAAACTGAACATATTGTTTTTGTTTCTTAGTTGTTGATAATGGTGATAATTGGAGTGTTGGACAACGACAGCTTCTTTGTTTGGGACGAGTGATGCTGAAGCACAGCAGGCTGTTGTTCATGGATGAAGCAACGGCTTCTGTTGATTCACAGACGGATGGGGTGATTCAGAAAATCATACGAGAAGACTTTGCGGACTGCACCATAATCAGCATTGCTCACAGAATACCAACGGTTATGGACTGTGATCGTGTTTTGGTCATCGATGCCGGTAAGTCCCTTCATCCCTTGTTGTTGTAGTGGTAGTAGTTGTTTGTGAGGTTATGATTTGGAGTTGGAATGGGAAACTTGCAGGTTATGCGAAAGAATTCGACAGACCTTCGCGGTTGATGGAAAGGGGTTCTCTGTTTGGGGCATTGGTACAAGAATATGCGAACCGGTCGTCGGACTTGTGAACAATTGCAGTTTTGATGATGAATGGAAGTGTAGTAGTCTTAAAAAGCAAAGTAGGATGGGTAGGGTTAGGAATAAATCCGGGAAGTTAGGTTGTTGGATGGGCAAAAAGAAGATGTTGAATGAGAGTTATGTGTATGATGAGATGAAGTAAGAGAGAGATTATTTACTTTGTAATGACCGTATCTAAATCTAATATCATTCATCCTAAAGAACCGAAATATAATTCTAATTTCAAGTTACATATCATTCATTCTAGAGAACGAGAACGAGAACGAAATGATTGTAGATGTTTTAAAAATTCTAGTTCAATCATCTTCATACAATAAATTGAAGGTAGGTTCATTCAAACTAAGATATTACAATAAATTCATCCAAGTTATTACATACCTTGGCTTGGCTTGGCTTGGCTTAGATTAAAGAAAAACCACAAAAAATAAAACACTCATTCATTCATGGTATTCTATTCACTCTTTTTTTGATTTTCTGTTAAAAGGTAACCAGGAATTTGAACTGAAAACCATAAAATTAAAAGGTAAGGTAGTGTGGACCCCTGTCTAACGGCGTCGTTAAGTATCTCGCCTCTTCTGGAATTTCCCATTTCCCATTTCTATTATAATCACCCACCCACCTACAGAAATCATTGTACAAAAAATGGAAACGCCACAAAAACCCCTCATGATCGTCGGCCTGGATGACAGCGACCACAGTTTTTATGCACTTCAATGGACCCTGGATCACTTCCCCAATTCTCCCTTCAAGCTGCTCCTTCTTCACTCCAAGCCTTCTCCTACTTCTGCCATCGGTTTCGCCGGTCCTGGTACAATCAACTCAACTCAACTCATCTCACTTTTACTTGCTCATTTCATCTCCTCTTTCCTAACTTTGTTTTCTGGTATATCATCCATGAATCCAGGTGCGGCTGATGTTTTTCCCTTTGTGGATTCGGATTTGAAGAAGATCGCTGCTCGAGTGGTGGAAAAGGCAAAGGAGCTTTGCCATTCCAAATCGGTTTCTACTTTTTGTCTATCTTCTTTTTTTCTTTTTTTGAAGCATAGCAGGGAGAATCTACTTGAATACTAATTAATCTGTCGATTCCAATTCCAATTCCAAATTGATAAGATTTTCCTGGTTGGAATTGAGTGTGATATCAAAATTGCGAGGTTATGGAAAGTCCTGATGTCGAAACAGTAATGGTCCTAGTGCAAACATTCTATCAGGTTCTGTATGTATACTTAAGCCAATGGAAATGCTATTGTCTCAATATCTGATCATGAAGCAAGTTCATGTCCCGGATAATCACTTGTTTACATTACATAGTGTGATTGGAATTGTAAGCCGATTTTGGAACTTCTAGCATCTAATACTGTCAAGTATAGGAAAAGAGCTTGTGTGATTGGAACCATAAGCGTGTTTTGACTCATCTTCATTGCAACTTTTAGCATCTAACGCATTTGAAAGATTATGGTTGTTTCAGAGGTTCAAATGTTTCACTCATTTATTACTTGTACTTGTTTGGATTATTTCTAAAAGCTACTTTTCTGTATAGGTGGATGATGTGAATGTGGAAGTTGTGGAAGGCGATGCTAGGAATGTTCTATGTGAAGCTGTAGATAGGCACCATGCTGCCATGTTGGTGGTTGGTAGCCATGGTTATGGAGCAATTAAAAGGTGACGTTTATTTTTGTAACTAGATTTTATGCATGTCAACACGCATGCTTTGATGGAAGCTACCTGCACTAAGATGTATTTATTCTGCAATTATATTACTGTGAAAAGATCATGATTCAACTAATTAAACCTTTATCCAGTCCTGATTGCTTGATAAGTAAACCAAACGATTCTGGTTTCTTACTTGTGAGCAATTGTTGCGCAAACATGGAATCCTCTTCAAAAGTTGTGGTGGGATTTTCGTATGCGAAAATGCCACTGCAAATCACTCCTATTTTCTGTTAATTTTTACATGATTTTAAAATCTTTTGTAGGGCGGTTTTGGGAAGTGTAAGCGACTATGTCACCCATCATGCCCATTGCACCGTGATGGTAGTGAAGAAGCCAAAGACCAAACACTAAGCCAGCAGAAATGGCCTCCTGCCATTGCTAAGTTGGAAAGATTTAAGGCATGGTTGGTCAAACTTAAAGACTACTCCTATCTGTGTATGTGTGACCATAATACTTATTCTTGTTTCGTGGCTCTTAAATAAAACTTGTTTCAATGTTGTATTTCCTTTTTTTGTTAATTGTGGGTGTGTACCTCGACTAATTCCAAGAGCCCTGGATAAAATCCAGTGGAATCGAACCGCTAATGTCGTTTAGTATTGTATCTCTTTCAAAGCCTGTGTCTGGATTTGTTTCCTTTATTTCTATAGTGGAGTAAACAAGCAGGTGTCATTGTTATGTTATGCCCACACTAATTACCAAGGGGAAAAACATGGAAAGGTAATGTTATTTATGTAAATTGTTATAAAAACGTGACGTGTCTTCTCATGAAAATGGACATCGATTTATGGAAGGAAAAAAATCATTTGATAATAAATGAAACAAAAAACCATCAAAATATTAATTTGCATTTTAGTAGATATACAATTAATTATGAACAAAAAGGAGAACAGGTGGTGCTCAATGTCGCCATGTGTCTGGTTTCTTCTTGTTTGCGTCTTTCGTTTTATTATTATTATTATTGTTGTTATTATGTTAATTTTGATCAACAAAATGATGCTTAAATAATTTTGTATTATGTGTTTGTTTCCATGTCTTCATAATTATTTTTATCGTCTGTCTGTCTGTCTTAAACCTATTTTCTTGTAAAATTGAAATTAATTCACCAACTTATCCAAGTGAGAACGTTTCCAACTTAATTTTATAAAAAAAAATTAGTTTTTGGTAATTTTTCTTATTTTCATTGGTTTTAATACAAATTAACTTAAAATTAAAACCTTCACCAATGAACAAACAGTCACAGAAAATCATTACGTTGCCTGATAAATGCATCCGCATATATTTATTCATCATCATAGACATAGGCCCACAACCAAAACTGTTTAATATTTTTTTTACTATTTTAGAGTAACGATTGTATTTGCTTAAAATTTGCCAAATGGACATTAAATTCGCTATGAAAATCCATAAATATAATACGATAACATTACCGTTTCCTTGTCCAACATCACATGTTCTTCATTTTAGAAACACGCATGATATATTTATCAAAACAGAGATCAACTCCAAATATAAAAGAATCGAGTTGACGGTAAGCAGGATGAGCCATGTCATGCCAAAATACGTCTTTAAAGCAGGTATAGCCCTACAAATAGTCATAAGACGAGATCAACCTTCCTTCCCTACCATGTCATGTCATGTCATGTCAAGTGAAAATAGTCGACACAAACGAGCCCACAACAGAAACAAAATGAAAGCCGCCCTAACAGTAGCATGCCCAAGCAGCTGGCTGAGGCTTGTTCAAGCGTTGTCAAAACATCAAATACCAAATATGTGCCATCTGGAATCCACAAGAAACTAGAAAAACTTTGAACCAAAAAGGCATTAACTCTAGTCAACATACAACAACTCGGTCTAGTGAAGTATAAATAGACATCCACAATCCCAAATCCATGCTTACATATAAGTCATGTTCCAAATTCAACTTACTTGGCTAAGCTAACTTCTTAGCTCCAAAACAACCTTTCCCGCTCCACTTCAGAACCAACCCATCAACTAGCACCAGCTTCATCACCTGCCAAATTACAAATAAAAAAATTATGCATATAATATACATGTACATCTACCAGCATGACTTTTTCTTATTCTTATTGCAAAAAATAGATGTATGCAACCATACCGTGATAAACTCTTGCTCCTGCTACGACTCCTGCTTCTGCTCGGACTCCTGCTCTTACTAGGACTGCGTCTTTTGGGACTTTTACTAACCCGCTTTGGGCGCTGAGTTCAGAAGAAAACAGAACACGACACCGATATCAAGAGGATTAATACTCAGTAGCAAAATCTAAACGGCTGATGAAACAAAATCAGAGTAAATGCTACCACAATTGTCCAGCCAAATGATATACATATTTAGCAGGAAAAGATGTAAGATGGAACTCCCAGACGATAGTTAACTTTAACGGGTTAAAATTAAATCACGGTTTCACTCACAGAAGGTGGCGGAGATCTGGATCTTGAAGGAGATCTGCAAAAGTTCCAGAAACAACCGAGTTTAATATCCAAAAGTTCCTCTTAATTTACTCTGATCCAAGAGCCTTGATGCCACTTCCACGTCAGAGAATCAGTAACCATAATCAATACAATCAATGGAAAATCCAAATGTTTAGCAGCCCAACAGAGACCAATATATGACAGACCTAATGAAGTTAGAAGGCCAACGATAAATTATCTTTAAATGAGAAAGGAGAAAAAAGGATGCAAATCGAGACACAAGTGAACAAGATACCAATAAAGCCGACAAATAAGTTGAACAGCATGCTTTATTTTCTACGTGGCATTTGGAGAAGCAATGATATGATCCAACTTGTTAAAACCGTGATTGCCATAGTCCATAATCATATAGCGCCTATTCACAATCCAGCTTTATGATTGCAATCCATATCCAGGATTCTTCTTGTCCCAATCTAGCACCAGTGGACATTGGTGATGCTTATTAAAAAGACACCACAAGGGATTCCAAAACTGGCTTCTACAAAATATCATACCTCCACAACCACAAGTGTTATAGGTATTGGTAACATATCCCATGAAGATCCTAACATGCAATCCTTTGAGAGTCGTATATATCCATATCTAAAAAGGCAGAAACAAGGCAGTTTCATCTTCAAATTTTTCAGAAGAAAAAAAAACGAAAGATAGTTTAAGAGAATCAGTTTCTTGACGCCTGCTAACACAAAATCATAAACCAATCCACAGGATTAAAACTAGAAAAGTAAACGAGAAAAGTAAACGAAGTCAAAAGCCACAAATGTACCCAGTTCTCGAACCAGGATCCTGAGTAACATGAACTCATTTTATTCCTAAAAACTCGTTCTTACTGCCTACGTTAGAGTAAACATTCATCTAGATCGATGCTAGTGTATCAACTTCTCCAGTTAATATAACATAAAATATGTAAGAAAGAGGAAAAGCAAATCTTTAACATGAGAACACAAATTGATATAAGAAACAGGATGAAGAAACCATTTCTTATGGCATCATGATGYAGGATGCAAGCTTAAATACATAGCAGAGGACTTGTTACTTATAGATGATGAAATGCCCTTGTTTCATAGGTCTGATTTATCTAAGGCATGAACCTTTAGCATAATAGTWACACAGAACATAAACCAAAGATATTAACTAGAAATGTGTACCTTGCAGATGGGCGGGGTTCTGATCCAGAACGAGAACGAGGAGAAGCAGACCTCGAACGGGATTTTGAGCGGCGAGAAGATTTTGCTTTTGGGGATTTGCTGTACAAAGATATAGAACAAGACATGGTTTTTATTGTTATCATTCTTATTCATTTGAAAGCAAGAGAGCTTCCGAGACAAATTTTAGGTAGACAGTGCAATGAAACAGGTACCAACCTTCGGCTTCTGCTGCGACTACGGCTATAGCTCTTGCTCCGGCTGCGACTACGGCTCCTAGAGCGGCTAGAATCATACTCCTTCACCTATAGGTAGTTTTCATGTAGAGTAAAGCACATGCAAAAAAAGCAGCGTGTACAACACATCAACCACTAGCATATTAGYATAAAACATACACGTATAACTCCGCGAGAGAAAGCATTCCGGAACTCAGAGTCATCCAATTTCCTTATCTGTGATAAAAGATAGTGAATATTAAATAACACCACGGATGGCCAGAAGTTTGAGCTTTAACTTCAAAAGAATGACTACACAGGGCAAAAAACAGATAATTATTTACAGCATATTTCATGTCATCATAGTTTGTGTAGTCCACAATCCCGGTGGTGCCTGCAAAATAAATGACATTATCACATCAGCCTTACCACTCAATTAAGAATATCCACATCGACTCACCATAGCATAACCAAAAAACTTTCTATCTGATAACAATCTTACCACCTCCCTCCTTAAAAACTTGGGAGAAGCAAACATCCCCAGCTCGACGCATGTGATCCTGGAAAACAAGAGAAGTGAGGCAAAAATACAAACCCTGAAAGTGCCCTTGAGCCAATGAAATCACTGCATGGTTGCCTTCAAATAGTGCAGTAGAAGACTAACCAAAAGCACACATTTCTAGCAAAAAGGGTGGCTTTAGAAAAARAAATGAGATATGGCATTATAAAAACTATCACACTGTTCAGCAAACTAAATATTCATCAGTCTTAGCATTGTCAATGTATTAGCTATAGAAATGGTGCATGACAAAGTGGATCACAGACAAATACACTCCAACCCAAATAATAAAATGCTCATGCCAGGGGAAAAAGTAATAACTACATTCAACTTGAATGATTATGATGGTTCAAAGTTCTTTTAGGAACCGGAAACAATTTAAGAAATAAAGTGGCAGAAACAAAAGCTTTTGGGTCCAACATGTAAATCATGGAATCTGCGGCGAATGATGTGCCATCTTCTATCGTCTTTTAAAAGATAGGAAACAGATACTTCAGTAATTTTTAAAACAAAACTCAAAGGTGTCATTTGTCAATCACAATATCGAACTTAATGGTATAGAATATATCTTGCTAATCATGCTTTCATATATCGCAAATCTTATGAATCTTTTTTCAATTCTCTAATTAGGTGCTCGACCGGGAAAAAGTTAAGAAAAAAATTGATCAAGACCAAAAGTTAACGTCAATGCCAATTTAATGGATTGAAATGCATATAACAGAATAATTGCTCTCCCCCTATCTAAGTTTTGTCTCTATTCTCAGTTCTTTACTAAGTTCTACTTCAGCTCACAAGTCACAACTTAAACTAATATTTCAAAAACACCTCAACTTCAGTTCATGATAATAGTTCCCACAAGGCAGATCCTGAAAGAGCACAATTATCTGAATTTATCACGCTACAGATGTCATTATAGCATTGAGAAGTTGACATCACCAATTATTACAATCAAGGTTGGAGCATAGGGTGCATGAAGTGGGATTAAAAGAAATGCAAGAGGAATCAATGAAGTGTAAGCATTACGGTATTAATCATACTGACCTTAAGGTCTTGCCATGAAGCAGAAGAGGGCAACCCAGTGACTAAAACTGCATTATAAAATGCAAATAAATATATTTGAGGACAATGTATTCCAATAAACAGGACAAGGCACTTCCAATCTGATACTTGTACCTCTATAATCGGAGCGTCTSGAAACACCACCGTGACCACCCCGACCACTGCTGTGGCTATTATGACGATCTGTAGCAGATGAGTTGCCACGGCCACCATGGGCAAGTTCCACCTATTCAAACAACAAAGAATTATTTTGTTGACTGCCACTACTATTACCATCTTAAAAAACTCAATAGTTATGTGTGCCTTGTATGTGCGACCGACCCTTAATCTGTGCCCATCAAAATCATATCCATCACGACCCCTGATAGCATCTTCAGCATCTCGAGCCTCTTCAAACTATAAGACAGAACACCATATCATGAGGAAAAAAGAAACAATGTAAAAGCAGTAGYGTAAACAAGATAAAGCTCACCTCAACAAAAGCATAACCTGGAGGTCTTGGTGGGACTTTCAAATCGATGCGGGCTATTGGACCATACTGCAATTTGGAAAAAGAATATACATAAGAAAACTTCTTAATCGGCCAATATTACCGAAGGTCAAAGTCTYGAACATCAATCTTTTAGCATTCCTTAACATTATTTGCACCTTTTGCTTCATGCCTTCATCTATGAAAGCTACAAGTCTGATTCTTAGTAAGGTGGATTGAATGTATTAACATATTTAAATGTGCTGATGAAAGAAATTAATTTCCTCCTAATGAAACAAATCCCAGATCATATAAGACACGATGCTTATCATCTGATAAGAATATCTTGAATTCTTGCAAATTCAGTCCCAAGCTATTGATTTCATATTTACTGCAACCGTCTTAATGATCAAATACTGAGATACAGTCCAGGCCTTTTTTCAAAGCACAAGGGGACCCAAGGGGACTAGAATAACTAAAATATGTACTCCMAAAAAAACAGTGGCGCACCTAATCCAGCTTCGACAAACAAACTGAATCAGGCAGCACTTGAGTTCAAACAAAAGTATGAACAAATAGARTATAAATGAAACCAAAGCCGGTCACCTTGTAAAACAAATCCTCCACTTCACGCTCGCGAATATCTCCAGGTAGATTACCAACATAAAGCGTTCTGCTGGAGCGACTCATTGTTTCTGGTAAGAAAACAATGATAACAAACTCAAAACCAATAACAAAAAATAAAGGCAAAATTAACAACACAACAAGATATACAACATTCAATATCGAATCGAATGATTGTATAACATAACAAGTGACAGAAGCATGAAACTACATAATCGTTACCATCTAAAAAGGGTTGATAGAAACATACAAAAATAAATAAAGAAAATCGAATTTGAACCTAACTTAAGCGAAACTTGGAGAGGTGTGGTAGGGAAATCGCAAATGGTGGTAGCTGTATGAAGATGGAGCGGAGCGTCTTACCTTTGAAAATGATAYAGATCCGGCCGCCAGCGTCGTTAGGGTTCGAGGGGACGGTGAGGTAGTAGACTAGCTTGAAAGTAAAACAAGTGCTATGATTCCCTGTGTGTCGCCTACGGTGGATTTCTATTGAATCCAAATCTAGCGGCGGAGCCTTCGGTTCTGGCGATGAGGTCGGGTCGGGTAGACGTAGAAGAAATACAAATACTTTCTTTTGGGCTTCCGTGAACGGCCCATTCTTTATAATAAAACTCTTAAATCTTCTTTTTTTTTTTTTTTCCCTCCACAATCCACATCCTATTCCTACCTAAGGGTTGTTTGTTATAATAATATAACTCGGGGAATGAAAATGAAAAGAAAGGGTTTAACTTGTAAAAGAATTTTGGGCAATCAACATCTGATATTGTATTATTATATATATATATATATATATATATATATATCAAACAGTTTCTTATATTTTTAATCACATTAGTTATTGTTTAATACATCTAACGAAACACCCCTTCGATTCATGAAGTCTGTTTGGGCTGCAAAGCTAATGCTTCATGTTGTACGATGGAAGAGAAACGCACAAAAGAACAAGTCGGCATTTGTGATGTCAAATTGATGAATGGATCATAGTATGGTCGATCATATAAGCCTATCTTTGTTTTTAAAGTGGCATTTCTTTTTTGTGAGTTCTCRTATGACATCGATCCACCTTTTGCTTTTCTTTAATATCGAGTTTAAAGAAATTGACTTTTACATACATTAAGTGTTATGTGATGTACATTACATCTTTAATTGACTTTTTGGTAATATACATGTTGAATTCTTCAACTTTTCTAAATGCATATGTTGACTTTTTTTTTTTAGTAGAATACATTATCTTTGTGGTTAATTATAAATGCAACCGTTTTTTTTTAATAAATTGCAACAAACTTTATCTTTTTATAATAAAAAAGAYATGTTTACTTATTATATCACAGTTTTTTGAGTTTAATGTATTATTTTCTATTGAATTATGTTTTTATTTTATTATATAATGTAATATGGGTTTTGGATGATTAATGGTAATATAAGTTTGT